AATCATGAAAGTACAAGAATGATTGAGACTAAGAGTATTTACTTTGAGAGTGGCCGAAGAGGAAGATTGAAAGGTGGAGGAAAACTTTCAAAACCAATACCAAGTGAAGGTGAAGAGTTTAAGGACCTGTTAGTAGAAGCAAGAAAATAAGCAAAACCACAAAAGGGATATTCAGTTCCCTATAATTGTCAAACGTGGCAAACAAATAGACAAAGGTTCTAGAATAGTGGCCCTAGAGAAAATTACTATACTTCTTACTCTTTGCCTCACCAATACAATCAACACTAGCCACTTCCTCAAAATTATCAAAGTTCTCAACCCCAGTTCCAGCCTACCAAAACCAAGTAGTCTTGAACTCGGACTCAACCTACAAGAACATGTTCAACAAAGCTTCAAGTAAGCAGTTTTCTTGCTATTATTGTGGTGGTATAGGCTATACAGCCGCAGTTTGTGCCTCATGATCAGTGGAAAATGGTATGAAAGAAAATAGGATTTTTTGAAGAAAAGGTAATAGCAAAAGTGAGTAACTACACTTGGGGAAAAAAGAAAGAAAGAACTAGTACTATAAATCAAAGTTGAAAAATCGATTAGTTGATCAAGTTGACAATTAATCGATTCCATTTTACCAAACCAACTTAATCAATTAGTCGATTAATCGATTAGTCGATTAGTCAACTAGTCGATTAATCGATTAGTCGATTAGTCAACTAATCAATTGGTTAATTAATTATAACATCATTATTATATATAAATAATATATATTTATTTACAAATCTTTTCTAATAGCAAAAAATTATTATCCCGGCATATACTTTTAATGCACAAAGTGACTAATCAATTAGTTAATCAATTGATTAGTTGATTAATCGATTGGTCAACTAATCGATTAATCAACTAATCGATTGGTCGATTAGTCGACTAATCGATTGGTCAACTAATCAATTAGTTGAAATAAAATCGATTAATCGATTAATTGGGTAAAATGAGTTGTCAACTAATCGATTGAAAAATTTTTGTCGATTTGTAGTACTAGAAAGAACAATGATAATGAACAATGTAGAGCAGAACAGGAGAGTTGTAGGCAAGATTCACAAACTGGCTGCTATGAGATATTGGTTGGAAAAGATAAACCCACCATCTGTAGTAGCTTGTTAGTTAAAAAACCAAGTACCTCTTTTTCCAAGAAACGTGTAGAGCCTTGTCGAGAGCAGAGTTTTGAAGCTCTACAGGTTGACGTTAAACTAAGAGAAATGGTTAAGAAAAGAGATTAGCTAATTAGAAGGGTTGGGAGTGATAGAAAAAGTGGGAAAAACTTTGGTTTATCCAACTGCCCTGTTGGAAGTATCTCTGATCTTTCTTGTGCAAAAACCGGGACCAAAATGCTTTCGTTTAGTGATTAACTTAAGAAGACTGAACGAGCGACTACCAGAAAAGTCATTCTGGTTTGAAGGCTTGGGTAGTCTATTAAAATCAATAAGGAAAAATTGGTCAATGATTACACTAGATTTGAGGGATAGCTATTACCATGTATTAATAGACAAGAAAGCCCATCGCTTTTTTGGTTTCAGAGTGGAAAAAAATTGGTACTAGTACCGGATATTACTATTCGAACTATAGCAGGCAGTCTGGATATTTTTAAAGATAATTTGGGTATTAATAGCATATTGGAGGGCAAAAGGTATAGCCTCGGGGTCACATGTCAACGATATATAAGTAGCACATCTCTTAGCAGAGGTGTTAGAAAAAATTCGAGATAAGATCATTCTACCAGATCTAGAGAAGTGTGGTTTTGTTTTGGCTTGGAACAAGAGCAGTCCGGTACCAGTGAAGAAAATAAAGTTCTACAGGTTGGTCGTGAACACAGAGAAGGCCCAAGTAGTGGTACCAAAATTAAAGTTAGAAGGAACGAAAGCATGTTTGAAGGAGCTAGAAAATGTAAGCTGAGTAATAGCCAGATAGTTGGCAAGAGTTACAGGAAAGATCCAAAACTTAGCAAAGGCATTTGCTCTAGCCCAGGTAAAATGTTTGGAGTTTTATTCTCTTATAGACACAGCAAATAGACAACTTTGGAAATGGGACAAAAAAATTTGGCTATTAGACCAAGCAAAGGTCAACCTGCATTGGTTGGTAAAAAATCTAGAAAGGTACAATGGCTGCCCAGTTTGGAGACCATTGCGGATAAGGAGTCTATTTGTGGATATCTCGACAACTGGTTGGTGTGCAAAGCTCGATGGTTTAATGGCATTCAGAAATTGAATGAAAAAATTAACCTTCCAGAAGATTGCAAAGTTGGAGGCCCAAGCAATACTTCTGGGACTAGAGAGTTTTGCAAATTTATTAAAGGGCTTTTGGGTTCTGATTTTCATAGACAACTGTACGGCCTTGGCAACAATGAAATCAGGAGGTCAGCTTTGGTGGCAAAAGAAACCTACAGAAAGCTGTGGAAAATTTGTTTAGAAAAGGATATTTGGATCTACGAACTAAAATAGGTGCTTTAGTGGAAAATCCAGAAGATTTTTGAACTCAAGCCTTCGATTCATCAGACTGATATGTCAAGAAGGAAAGTCTTCCAAGTGATAGAGACAACCTTTGGACCACACTTAATAGACTGAATGACTACCCTAATAAATACAAAGCTGCGAAGATTCAACAGCTACCACTTTTGCCTGGGGCAGAAGCTATAAATTGTTTTACACAAAGGTAGAAAAATAAAGTAAATTACGTGTGCCCTCCTCTGCATTTAGTACAAAAGGTACTCTATCATGTAAAGAGCTGCAAAGCAAGGACAACAGTAGTGATCCTGGAGTGGCTATTAGCTGAGTGGTGGCTCCTACTTCTGGAATTAAAGTGGGAGGTGCTAACCCTGCCAGAACTGAAAGTCAAGTTTGCCCTGGGTCTATCAGAATTTGTAGAACTTTGAAGAAACCAGAGGTAAAAATTTTTGGCAGTACACATCTGGCTGTGAAGGATTTGTTACAAAAAGCTAGGACACTAGCAAAGGAGTCCGTGTCTCCCTTCTATAGAGCCAGGTTAGAGAAATATTGGGCTAAATATGAAGAATTTTGTAGAGAGTTCAGTTTGGATATAGAGAACCCACAAGAGGATGGGATTTTGGCATTTATCATGTAGCTAGATGTAATGGGGTTGGCACCTCAAACCTTGCAGATCTTGCAGACGGTCATAAACAATCTCTGATTTAGAAAGAAGAACAACTTTAAGTAATCTTTAGCAGTAACACAAGTCCTGAAGGCAATAAAGAAGGAAGTCACAAAAGATAAAACACCAGATTGGCTACAAGATCTATTGCCAGTTATGACATTGAGAAGCTACATGAATGTACTACCACCCTGGGCCGATAAAACTATGTATAAAAAAGATATAGCTTTAGTTGCATTAGAGCTAAGAACAATGCGAAGGCCGGGTGAGTTGGGGGAGTTAACAGTAGAGTACATAAGGTGGGATAACGAAGAAACCTTGTGGGTTAGAATTTGCAAGTCCAAAACTGATCAATTTAAAAATAATAAATTTATCCTGCTCGAAGATATGAAGTCAAAATACTGCCTGGTTAGGCTTCTAAAGCAATATTTGGAAGTTCAACCAAAAATGGACCTAGGGACACCACTATTTTTGTCAAAACATGAGAGAAAGGTTTTGGTTTCGGCAATTAGCTCGATAGTGAAACTTTTTGCAGAAAACGCAGATCTGAGTGGCAGGTTCACAGCTCATTCATTGAGAATTGGCAGAGCAACGGCAGCAATGATGGCAGGAGTAGGTCTCACACAGATCTGAGCAATAGGGGTTAAAACTTGAAGGTGGTCATGCTGTATTTAAGAACAGTCTCAACAGCTAAGATGAGAACCTCCAAACCTATGGGGGGCTTTTTTTTTAAAAAAAAAAAGAGTAAGTAAAAAAAAAAGAAAGAAAGAAGAAAAAGGAGAGAAGAGAGAAAAATGCAGTTGACTATCGAGAAGATGGAAATTGGAGCACATAGCCAAAATTTGTAAATAAAATTAAAAATAAGAAAATTGGCACATAGCCAAGTTAGAAAAATAAATAAAGATGTAAAAAGAAAGGAACTGGGCATGCAGTTCAGAAAAAATAAAAATAAAAATAAAAATTATTGGTAGCCAAATATCATGAAGTATGAGTAGCATAGATATAAAGTAGTATATGCATAAAGTAGTATAGATAGTTATATATATTGTATGTATGCCAAATATCGCCTTTCACATAATTCTCGACAACAATTCAATACTGAACTTTGTAAAGCACAGGTGTATTGTTGGCTATAGAAATTGTTTATTCATATAGAAAGAATAGGTTCCATGACAGACAATAATAATGAGCCACTTGTGAACAAAGTTACAAGGCGGGACATTATTGTAAATCACTGGAGCTCCCGAGTGACAATTAGTCACGAACTTACCCATGATGAAAATGCAACAAATTAGTATTTGAGTAACCTGATAATCTGTTGATTCTGTGTTTTTGATTTTTTCTGCTCGACATTTGGGTCCAGCTATGTGCTGTTACTCCCTACCTCACCCAAAAAAAAAAAAGAAAAAAAAAGAAGGAAGAAAAGAAAAAGGCAGGAGAGAGGAAAGTAAATATAAATAGAAAGGGATACATATAGATACACATGAAAATTAGAGATCCCAAACTTACACAATACTCATAAAGACTGATTATGTGACACCAGGTCGGCTTGTTTGGCGGCCCTATCCCATACTGAACTTCGTAAAGCACAGGTGTATCATTGGCTATGAAAAAAATTGTCTATTCATATAAAAGGGATAGGTTCCATGATGAACAATAATAATTTATTGAAATCGGTTTGTACAACTAATTGATAATTTGTTAGTATTATATATTCTACTATAAAAAAAAAAAAGATTTCAAATAACAAATACAGTAAATCGAATAACAACTATAATATTGTATTAATAAGTTTGTATCTGCAAAAAATAAATTTTGATCAATCAAAACAGTTTTCTATAAATTTAAATTAATTCTTCAATCTTGGAAATCTTTTTGAGTTGCTTTGCTTTAATATTTTCATCTATAACATTTCCAGCCGTAATCCTTAATTTAAATATAAGTTTTATCAAAATTCAATTGCTCATTATTTTTAAAAACTCGATATCATGCTTAATTCTATCATAACATAATTTAATTTCAACTATCAGGATTTCGAGATCTGTACAACTCATTCTCTCTTTCGTTTTTAATTCAATTGAATCTGAAAGGAGTTCGTTATACCTATTCTTCATCTCTGTAACTACTTCTTTATAGGTTTGATGACGTTTAATGATGGTTTACTTTTGTAGATAATGACTATTGAATTATATGACTGTCAAATATTTAAAAAGTTGATATATAAAATTATACAGAAAATTAATAATTATGACTTACTCTGGCCAACTGCATCCACATTCTCTGTATTCACTATAGAAAAACCTAAACTTGATGTGGTTACATACTAATTCGGACAATTCTTATAACAAATTTTATTAAGATGATTTATACAAATAATATTTTTGTAAGGAGTCTTAATATACTCAAGAAATTCAATCATCTTTCATGTGTAATTTTGGCTATCTCTCAAAATATTTTCGTTCTTTTTACTCTTGTATCTAGCATTTAAAAGTTGTTAATTTCACTGACAGCTTTTTGAATTTGTGCATTTAAGTCTTTTTGGAGTTCTACGAGTTTTTGAAAGTCTTCTATAGATTTAAGATTATTGTCTTCAATAATATTCAAGAAATCATCAATTGTTTGATTAGACGGTTTCCAACTATGTTCAATATTAGGTCTTGATTCCGGATTAGATTGCCACTTGTTAAAATAGTTAGAAAACATTAGATTATCACATTCAAAAAATCTGTGCTAGGTTAGTGACATAGATCTTCTGATTTACAAATCAGATTTTAAGAATTATGTATAATATAGCACAATTAGAAAATTTCAAACCAAATGTTCATTTTACCAAAAATTACTTTTTTCTCAAAAATCTTCATAATAAACTACCTTTAGCACTTTAACAAAAAGTTTTTCTTGTATAATTTTACTATATATCACTTAGTTTTTAACCTTATGTGAAATGCTAACATAATATTAATGAACTTTAAAAATTTTGTATATATTAGATACAATATGCATAATCTAGTACAGATTTTTTGAATGCTAAATTATCTATATAAAACACTTTCTAGTTACAGGAATTAGCTTCGATTAGTAATAGTAATAAATTAAAAATCAATGTGTTAATATTGAATACCAAAAAAAATTCAAATTAACTTTTGGCATTGCTATTTTTTTTTAAAAAGGTCTAGTTTGAAATTTGACTAATTTTTTTAGTTTGAGTAAGAATTAAAAAAATATTATTTTCTAAAAGAGATTTTGACAAATAATTGTTAAAGTCATTTATAGTATTTTTTATTACTTCTAAATATCAAGCTTGACTTCCATTAATTACAAATACAATAGCATTTAAGTATTTTTTGTCAATAGCTTTTTCAACTATAAGCTCTAAGTTTCTTTGATCTTGATCTTTTGTATCATATAAACTTGGGAAATCAATAAATCTGTATTTATGTTCAAGATATTCTTGGTGCTCAAAATTATAATGAAAGCATCCAGATGCCTAACTCTCGTTTGATTGTTTACATATAAAAAAAAAATTAAATATACACTTTGACATAATATTATAACCCACATAAAGAAAACTTCTACGCATGTATCTTTTTCTGTGACTTTGAAGTATTGAAATTTTACTGCAATTTTAATACTGTCAAGAATGCTGCTGTGAAAGTAATTAGTTAACACATTGATTAGGGTGAATTTTTCTATGCCCATTTTACTAACAAAAAGAATTTCAAGAATTTTATATTCATTACAGATTTCAACATTTGTAATTAGAATATTTATTTTATATTACCTATTATTATGGAATGTTAATTTTTAAATCTATCACACTCATTAGATTAGCTTCATCGAATGACAAATTAAGTGTGAATGAGTTTAAACTAAACCAACCATAAATAATATTGTAACTTAGTTATGATATTTTCTTTCTCAGATTTCATATAATCACCTCAATAAATATAAAAGTAATTGTGACTCATGGAGGGTCTAGACAATAAAATATTTTTATACATTTCTGAAAAATAAATTAACTTTATCTACTGATTGAAATGATATTATTACGTTAAAAATACCTCTCTTAACCACGTAACAAAACATTAATTAAATCATATAATTGGACCTGTTAACTGTACAAAGACCCAAAATCTTATTGTTATTGAATTCTATCATATCTATTAGATTTACTATATCTTATAATTTTTTATTTATTATTATATTTATATATGTTGTAGATAGATTCAAAACTCTATGAATTCGGAATCCACTTAATTGATGATCCGGATAAGATCGGCATAATTACTATATTGGGACAAAAGTAAATTTTGGGGATAAGTACAATATAACTTTTTATTATATGCTGAAATCTGAGCGGAGTCGAATGAAAAGTATTT